AAAAAAAAAAACTTTTAACTTCAATAATAAAGTAAAATAGGAAACTTTAAAAGTAGAACAAGAGAAAGTAGGAGTAAGTCCCACACTGGCTTAATTAGAGGTACTCTCCCCTCCCATCGAGAGTCAGTGCCAACAATATCACCCAGGATTGTGACTGCAGCTGTTTGTCTAGGAAGGAATGCCTAGAGTCAAGGCTGGAACTAGCAACCAGGCAAGAAACCATATTTGGACTCTATACTCCCATCCAGGTTTCTCCAATTCGTTTGTTCTTACTTCATTTAAATAGCCGTGCCATTTTAGCTGTTTACATTTCTCATTTTATTCTCTTTTCTTCTTTCTCTCAGTTCTTTTTCATTTTTTCTCTGTTCCTTTCCTTTTTCTTGAATAAATGCAAGGAAATACAAACAGCTGAATGAAATAAAGATGTCAATATAGGATACAAAAATAGAATTCAGGAAAGAGAAATTTTTAAAAATCTGAAATATTGGAGATTAAATGTTCAGTGAGTCAAATCAAAAACTCAGTGGAAAGCTTCACCAGTAGAATGGAGTGGGGAGGGTCAAATATTACGATTTGAAGACAAGGTAGCCAAATTGGAACATTCAGACAATAATAAAGATAAATTAAGAAAATACAAACAGGCTGGCTGGTTGTGGCCCTTTGGAGACTGCCTGAGAGTGCCTGACTTGACCTCTGAGGGGTGAGCTTCTCAAATTGTGCCATGCCTATCCCTCTGCTTTAGGATCAGCTCAGTCCTTCCCACTGCTCCAGGGCTTAGGCTTCCCTGCTGACTAGTAGAGATCAGCACTACCATCACCTATCTCCTTTCCTTGGACCTTGGCAGTATCCATTTGAGGTGTCTGAAGTGCTCTTAACTAGCTAGGGCTGCTTTATTCTTCTGGAGAACCGCTGAGTAACCTGACTGGAGCCGTCTTGTCCCTCCAATATAAAATCAAAAGAGAGAATGAGAAGCCTAGACCAACTGTTTTTTCATACTCAACCAGAAAGCAACCAAGGTACATCAATACAAACAGAATCAGACTTCTGTTCAACAAAGAAAGGCTTGAGTTTCATAACTAGAATCACAAGCAACAAAAGAAATCCACATGCCAAAACCACAATGAAAAAAATAATATGAAAAACCAAAGTAAAATGTTCCCACCAAACACCACGAGACCTATAGAAGAGTTCTACAATGAGAACTCCCTAGAGATAATCCAGGACACAGGATTTAAAAGAACAATCATAAACATGATCAAAGAATTCAATGAATTTAAAGAACACACACACAAGCAAAAAAGGGATAAACTTCTGACTGAATTCACAAAAGGGATAGAAATATTGAAGAAAACTCAGACTGAAATGAAGAAGAAAGTGAAAAACTCAATAAGTAATTTTGAAATGACAGGAGAAAGCCTCACCAGTAGAATGGATGGAAGATAGAATGTCAGATTAGATGATAAAGTTGAATAATTGGACTGCTCAAGCAAAGAATATGAAAAATTAAAAAAACAGGAATGGAGTATGCAGGAAATGTGGGATACCATGAAAAGGCCAAATTGACGCATTATAGGCATAAAAGAAGGAGAAGAATCTCAGGTAAATAGAATTAAACCCAATCTTCAACAGAATTAGAAAATTTCCCAAAATTAAGGAAAGACATACCCATACAAATACAAGAAGCTGATAGAACACCAAACAGACAGGACCAGAAAAGAAACTCCCCAAGGCTTATCATAGTAAAAACACTAAATGCACAGAACAAAAAGAGAATGCTGAAAGCTGCAAGAGAAAAACAATTCACATATAAAGGAAAACTGATCAGAATTAGAGCTGACTTTTCAAAGCAAATTATGAAAGCCAGAAAAGTCTGGATCAAAGTATTCCCATAGATGACCATAAATACCAATCCAGAATACTTTACCAAGAAAAACTGTCTACTATATTAGAAAGAGAAAGGAAAACCTTCCATGACATGAAGAGACTGAAAAAATTCATGTCCACCAAACCAACCCTTCAGAGAAAATTTGAAGCAATACAAAGGACTGAGGAAAAGAACAATTATACCAGAGGCAACAGAAAGAAACTAAATGAAGGTATAATGGTAGAAACAAAAAATTAGACCAAGGATGCAAACAAATTAAAATGATGGTAAGCAATACACATCTTTCAATAATAAATCTAAATATCAATGGTCTCAACTTCCCAGTCAAAAGACACAGACTAGTTCATAGATTAACAAACAAAATCCATCTTTTTGTTGTCTGCAAGAAATCCATCTTACCTTCAAGGACAGGCACTACCCTAGGGTGAAAGGATGGAAAAAATATTCCAAGCAAATGACACTAAGAAGTATGGGTTGCAATTCTAATATTTGACAGTATAGTCTTCAAATTAAAACTAATCAGAAGACATAAAGTGGGTCATTTCATTTGGGTGACAGAAACAATTGACCAAGAAGATAGTACAATCATGAACATATATGCACTAAACTCTGGTGCACCCAGTTTCATAAAAACAGTACTTCAAGACTTTAAGACACAGACAGATTAACCCCAACTCAGTAATAGTAGAGGCCTTCAATACCCCACTATCTCCAATAGACAGGGCAGCTAAATAAAGAATAAACAGATATCTGAATTAAGTGATACCATATATCAATTGGACCTAACAGACATCTACCAAATATTCAACCCAAGCACCAAAGAATACACTTTCTATTCAGCACCTCATGGAAGTTTCTCTAAAATTAACCACATACTAGGGCACAAAAACATCCTCAACAAATACAAAAAGAATTGAAATAATTCCATGCATTCCATCAGACCACAATGCAATAAAGCTTAAAATAAATACCCCCAAAACATGAACTCATGGAGATGAAACAAAACATGCCTGAATGATGAATAGGTCAAAGAAGAAATTAAGAAAGAAATAAAAGTATTCCTGGAACTAAATGAAAAGGACAATACAACTCAACAAACCCTCTGGGACACTTTAAAAGCAGTCCTAAGAGTGAAGTTAATAACTCTAAGTGCTTACATTTTAAAAAATCAGGAAAAAACCACAAATAAATGGCACAACATTGGAACTCAAGACTCTGGAAAGGCAAGAAGAAATGAAACCAAATCCCAGAATACAAGAAGAAAAATAAAATCAGAGCAGAAATTAATGAAATAAAAACAAGAAAACAGGACAAAGAATCAATGAATCTAAGAGCTGGTTCTTTGAAAAGATAAACAAGCTAGACAGACCCTTAGTTCAATTAACCAAAATTAAGAAAGCAAATCCAAATCAACAAAATAAGAAATTAAAGGGGAAACATCACAACAGACACCAAAAAGATCCAGAACATTATAAGGGAATACTTTCATTTATTTTTAAAATTTTATTTATTATTTTATGTGTATGAGTGTATTACCTGCATGTGTGTAAGTGCACACATGTTGTGCAGTGCCCATGGAGATCAGAAGAAGGCATTGGATTCCCCTGGAACTGGAG